CTCACCAAGAATGGAGAGGTGAAAGAGAGAGTGCTCGTTCCATGAACCAAAATGGCGACCATACCGGAGGGGGGAGGAAAGGGGGGGGGGTGCTTTGCGTGACATTTCTAGGGTCCAGTGACTTTAGTAGGGAGTAGTGTTTATTAAGTTGAACCCTGACCAGGGTGTAAAATAGACAGGTGGGGAAACGAGAGCCAATGAGCGACCGGATTGTGTCCCTCTCGGTTTTCTCTTTTTCTGTGGCGCCATCTATGTGGAGCACCGCGAACTCTCACGCCAGGTGGGCGACCGGTGGCGACCGGCTAAACTGACGGAGATGGTTTCTCATTGATTTTCAATGGAGGACTGTCCTGCTCGCGGTTTATTTTGCGCACTCTCCCATAGAGTTCCACGCAAATCCGATTCCAATTTTTTTCCTCTCGCCGCAGCGCCATCTGTCGCAAGTCGGGGGTACCCGCAAGCAGACGAGTACACAATCCGGTCACGGCGCTGCGGTAGGCTTCTATGGGCCGTTTCCCCACCTGTCTATCTTACACCCTGACCCAGACAGATAAGATGATGTCAGGTACTCGCCAAACCTTGTGATTCTTAAAATGCGGTCGCATCCCTAACGCATCGTTCAAAAAGACAGTTTGCAGACAAGGTCCGGGGCGTGTTTCTTCCTCGTGCGGAGGTCACACTGATCGCTTTCACTCCCGAGGGGGGAAAGGCGAACGAGACGTCTCTAGCCTGCGAGTGACTGTGCAGCTCGAACCATTTCTCGGCGCGTGCAGTGGCGCGCTACAGCGCCGTATGCGGCGCTTGAAACATTGATCGGACGCAACCACTTGTCATACTTATCGGCCAGGTCGTACGCGCGCGTAAATCGATGCTTGCACGCCTATCGATAGCGAGTGCAAGGGCTCCTCCGTAACAGCGATGGGGCGCGCCCCGGGCCAGACTCTCGCTGCAGATTGATCGACGGGTGCCTGTGCTATCTTACTGAAACGAGCGGATGGGTGGAGTGATTAATGTTGCCCGGCTACAACTGCGACGTCGTTGTAACACGAAAACGTCGTGACTTTCGCCGAGTTCGTCAATTTGAGGGACGCTGAAAAAATTTGTTTCGCGTAGTTTCGACGAACAACGAAAACGAGCAAGGGAATGATGATGAGGGGTCCGGAGGGGAAAAAAAAAAGCTGCTGCTATTTGCAGGAAGCTACGCAGCGAACGTAGAGATTTACATGAGCAATACAAAACAAGACCCCCAGTGCAGCATGGAATACCACGCACAGTACAAGCACACTTTAAGCCCAAACAAACCATCGACGGATTCTGTTTCTTCTTCGTTCTTGTATTTATGTAGAATGAAAATTTTGACATGGAAACTATTAACGCCGTGAAAAGGGTTCATCTGGCTGGATTCCCCAGCGCATTTTCTGACAAAAATACACGGATAACGGGTCCGCGCTAGCTGAGTCACGCAGTGAACCATTAGAGCCTAGGTGATAATCTCTTTATTGCCTTCAGACAACTGACCCCAACATACAAACGCTTTTTTATTAAAACAGAACGTTAGCGTGGATCCATGACAGGAGCTATAAATGCGTCATGTAAGTAGACCCAACGCCTTTACTCGAGCAAACATTACGAAAAAAAGACCCAACGCGTTTACTAGGGCAAACATTACGAAATAAGCGAGTAAAATATTCGTGCCGGAACAAACGATTGGCACAAGGTAAATACACAAAATCACTGAACGTTTCGATCGACAGATTTATGGTGGAGCGATCTTTCCTACTTCCTAAACAAGACCACAAACAATACCTTTGCTCTTACCAACATCCGTTGGTTCTCTTACCGCCCTCGCCAGACACGAAGGGAAAACTGAAACACGCGTATAAAAGCGTAGAAAAAAAAACAAAAAAAAACATCACGATAAACACGTTGCGGTCATATAGCATCCCAGGCTGTTACCGAACAAGAGACACATATTGAAAGACGTTTCCACCACCAGACAGACACATGGCAATATGCGTTTTATAATCCACATCAATTTCCCAATAAAAAAAATAATAAAAAAGAGCCTCAAAACGCCCCACCTCGTGTATCAAACCCTCAAGCCGAAAACAGACCACCATCGCATCGACCTCCACCACAGCGCGCTTTCCTTTCAATATTTTTTTTTTATTATTATTATTTCACTCTCGGAGCTTGACAAGGCTCAACATGAAACAAGACGGTCCAAAAAAGAAAACGTCCGAATCGATCAACGTTCGCTCTTTGCCAGTTTTAGTTGCCCCGTCCTCAGTGTAGCAGTCATCTAAGAGCGAGCGGGACCAAAAGCGGGAAAAGAAGAGAGAGGGGGGGTCATATGCTCACGATAATGAAGGAAGCTATGGGAGGATATTTCGTTCCACGCTATATCGACGAGTGCGCCCCGGGCGCGGTCGGAGAGAGAAGACGAGGGTATTGGGGGCCAATTAGGAAAGAATCCGACCTTCCCCTCTTCCCCTCGCACGAACACAGGCGCGCACACTGCAGCCCTCCCCAAAAGACGCTACTCCGTCCGACGGCCCAATCGCCCGAGAAGCAGTTTTTCGTCAATCATTGGAAATCGTAGCGGGCCGCGAGCCCTCTGCATCCCTGTGCGTGCGTGCGTGCGTGCGTGCGTGCGCCCATGTGTTCGGGCGCGCTTCCGGGATCTGTTCAGGGTCGGGTTCAGCTTGTTATAAGCTTATTACGGAGCGCCGCTATCGGAGAACGAGCGCGTGATGCAGCGGGGGATCGGGAGGGCGACGGCGACGCCGCGAAGAAACGCGGAGGAACGCCGCTGGGAGCTCGGTGTCAGTTTTTGTCGAGTCGCTACGATTGCGGCGCGGGAGGGGGCGGGGCTCGGCAAGCCGGAACATCCGTTTATTGCCTTCCCGTTCGGATGCGCCAGAGAGCGGGTGAAGGTAAACGAGGTTCAGTGAGGGTGACTGAGATTCAATGGGGGTGACTGAAGGTAATTGAGAGGGAGAGATGGTGAATGAGATTGGGTGAGGACTGTTGCTGGGTTGCTTGAGTCAAGCTGGTAACCGAGGTTCAGGGAGGGTGAGTGAGAGTAACTAAGAGTCACTGAGGGAGAAAGAAGGTGCGTGAGATTGAGAGGGGATAGTGGATTGGGTCTGCTTGGGCAAAATGCAGGTCATCGTTTTTTGCTGTGTTTTTGTCTACACATTGTCATATTACGGGACTTATGAGTGTCACTGATTGGAAGCAATGGTGGCGTATGTTTCCTAATGTCTCCGGGGATTTATACGATGCGCGACGTACCGCAAACACGACATCGACATCGTATTTTGCTCGCTCTATTCATGAAAAAAAAAGTTTGGCGTTTGGTGCCAAAGAAAAACTCTTTTCATCGACAGAGTAGCTTTGATGACAGCGTTTCCTTACAAGAGAAAAGGAAAAGTTAAAAAAAAAATGAAGGGTAAACGAGAACAAAATCTGTCTTCGTACACCGGACTCCGATGAAGAATAGGGTACAAAAAAAAAAATAAACTGGCTGCGGAAAAAAAAAACTGTTTACGGCTCGTTTGTGTGAACAGTGTCGTGCCCTTTCCTGCTATCAGATTCTGTGCAGGAACCTTTCCGAGACTAGCTGTTTATGAACATAAAAAAAACATAAACTGAATTAAATTGAATTGACAACGCGTTAGACGCTTGATTCCCCCTTTAGTTCTTTTTTTTACTTATTTGTTTCTTTTAAACCAACACGATTATCTCCTCGTAAAGTTGAGAAGGAAAATACACACGAAACACCGGCGCACTCCTCCCGACGTCTCTCGGCTCTCGAGGCATCGGGGAGCAGCTCAAGGCGGCGCCTTCAAGCTCGGCCGCACTTGGAGCCAATTTAAAACGTCAGCGACATGCCCGGTCCTGCGGGTTGTCGTGCTGCCGTCATCGATTAGAGTCCCCCGCCGCTTCCCTTCCCCGGGGCCGAATCCCGGTCACTTTATTGCCCTCATAAACCCGAATTAATCACTCCGCCTGCCCGCCGCCCTCAGCACTTGCGAACCCCCTTTTCGCTTACATATACCTATACGGTTTTCAGCGCAGTCAAACAAGAACGTAAAGTAAAAAAAGAAGGAAAAACGAGGAGCGAATAAAAACATACACCGAACGATAAGAAGAAAAAAAAACAGTGGATTGATGATACGGCAATTTGGGTTACGTTTACAGTACGATCGAAGGATGTGAAAAATTAACGTATAAATTTGTGGAAATGTGTCTTTGGACGGGGGAGACACGGAACATTTTTATTACTCGTGTAATGAGCGAGAAAGGTAGTGGTTGAGGGTAAATATTTTGTAACGGTATAACTGCAAAAAAAAAAACCCCAAAAACCCCACTAAAATGAAAAAAAAAGGAGCTAGGAAACGTTGGTTAGCTAAAAGGATTGGAAACTCACCAGTAACGACCCCTCACCGACCGTCAGCTTAACGATCGTCACAAGGCGGGTCTGAATCATTAAACAAAAACCGCTACTCAAGACCGCTAGAAAACCGCTTGGCAGATGGTCAATGGGACGAGGTTACAACCGACATCCTGCGCTTGTGAACTGTACGGGAAAAGGCCCCTCCGAGGAGTGCGCAACAGAAGCGTCTAAACGTCCCTCGTGACATCCGTATCGAGTCAAATATTATTCTAAAACTGTCCAATAGCTAGTTCTTAGAAACCGTTTCTACCTTACATCGCGGGAGGGGTTTACAGAAAGAGCGGTTGCGGTTCCCGCGCGTGCGCAACGATAGTATCGCTGCCCTACGGACTCGCTGCAGTGGTGTCATCTCTCTCTCTCTCATACACACGCACGCACCCATTCACACACACACACACACATGTATATATATATATATATATATATGCACACACACGCACGAATGTAAGTAGATGAATCGTCCGTTCCACGGTTCTCTAAGGTCTGTATCGCGCTGCACCGTCGCTGCTTAGAGTGTGACGAAAGAGCCAAAACGCACCTTGGAGCGGTTCCTGAACGTGGACCTTGGCCGTCGCGTTCGGGCGCGGCAGAGCGAGTTCTCGGGCGACCAAGTTGCTCGCTTCGGCGAACAGGTCGAAGGTGCCGGGCCGCTCGAACAGATGAGTGAAGTTCCATCCTGCAAAACAGTAGAAAAAAAAAAAAAACCACGCACTCAGAGGAAGCCGCAGTATTCATCTCTTCAGTCGTATAAATTCGTTCGTTCGTTCGAAGAAAAAAAATATAAAAAACGCCCGGACACGGCATTACGAGTAGCGCCTGGCGTTCGAAATTGTCTCGCGATAATGACTATAATACAAAATTTGCAGATCCCATGTTCTACCGCAATGGCGTTAGGGAGGGACGAAAGCACAATGACCTCTTTCATTGTTCCTCCTTCGTGCTTTAAAGGGTTACACGCAAGAAAAACGGGCAACCTTATGCCGCAGTCCTCGCTGCTCATTCGTCATACAAAAGACACGAAGTCTCTCCGCAGACATGACGACAAAATTACCTGCGGTCAGGCCTCAAACGCATTTGAAGGATGTTTGCTTCCTACATATGAACGCTTCCAACATGTCTGGAGACAGTTCTGAATGACAAGTGTTGCAGGACCATTATGCGAGGAAGAAATACGCCTGAAACAGTGTGATAGTTGTGGGAACCATTGGGTTCCCGCTATCCCTATCTAGGCCTAGCTTCAAGCAGGCCGTGGGAGTCGTCGTCACCAATGGCGTCGGCCTCCCGGATACAAGGAACCACGAGGCCGAATTCCCCGAAGGGGCCGGTTCTCCCTTGCCCTTTTGGGTGAACGCGCCATCGGCACACCCTTGGGAGTGATTATGGACGCGTCCCGTTTTCGAGTGACCTTCTACCGGCCTCCCCGGCCGCGTCTATTTCCCGCAGGCTACATAAGCCGGCCACCCACCTGTGGCCAGGGGCTCTTGGTTAGGGGGGGCTACGCTCGACGGAGTATTCATCGTTATTTTACTGCTCCCCCTTCTCCGTGATCCTGCCAGTTCCGGCAGCGCGGACCTTTCTCCTGGCGATCCTGTCAATTAAGGCAGCGCCAACCTCATTTCTCTTTTGTTCCGCCTACGGGCGCAAAGCGTGTGGCGTAAGCCCAATAAACACGTTTCTACGGTATCCCTGTGTTTGGTGTGGTCTCCCGTCCACCGGAGCCTAACGGCAGTCAACGGACGGACCCGGCCGTAGCCGCCATAGCAGCGAACTACGGAGTGGGTGTTGCCTCACAGCGATCAGCAAGGTAAGTCGAAACCTACTTTATTGCATCCGACGAGTTACGGAGTGGGTATTTGCCTCACTGAGGACTTTGGGGTAAACTAGAATCCCACATAGTCCGGAACGCTAGTCAGCCATCAAATTTATTCGCATCATAGCTCTTTTGAAAGAGGAACCAGAGAGGAAAATTAAGAGTTGTGCGAACGGTAGACGGTATGAAACCCAGGATTTGAGAGAAAATAAAAACAATTAAAGAATAATACACAAAAAAAAAAAAACGTGGAGTTTTTTTTTTTTTTTTTAAGCCCGATTCACAAGGTGCCATTTTACTTCCTATTTCGTAGTTGCAACGTCAATCGCGCAACAACAATAAACAAAAGAAAAAGTGTAGTTGAGGTGCTAGTTTCCAACCTCACAGCTGCGAAACCGCAAGAAAAATCGCATGATGTGGATCAGGCTTTAGCTTCGTTTGCGGTGAAACGAACCATTCGCGTCTTCGAACGTGTTTTTTCTGAACCCTCGCTGGACAGTTTTGCATTTTGAGCAAGATGCTTTCTGAGTCACGGATAGTACAAACAGGTGTTACAGTGTGCAGCGTTCCTCTCGAGCGACGGTGAGGTGCACTGAATCTCAATGTTGCCCGGATAAAGACGAAGAAGCTTGAGCGGGAATCAATTGCGCAAACTGCCCAAAGGCGAAAAAGGTTTTTCGTCGAAAAGATGCCGCTCAAAAGAGCCCGGAAACAAACCAAAATAAACACCAAAATACGCGGAGGTTTTCCTCTAAAAAATAACCGGGGAAACGAAACACAGAGGGTTGAGCCACTATAGAGAAGTGTTCTGTGGTTTGTGTAGTCGCCATGTTTTTTTCCTCCTTTTAGGTTTAGAGCATTTCCTAAAATGAACTCGCGGTATCACATTGTGAATAATAAACGAATGCGAACGCGTCTGCTTTCACGCCAGCTTCCTTCTCCCTCGGTCGATCATAATCAAAAACCGCACGTCCACATTTCGCGCTCAAATTTATGGCCTCGCTGTCGGGGACTTTTCCAGCAAAATAATACGACTCGGCGAGCCACCTTGCACTTTCCGTACGCGCCGCTTCTATGGGACGACACACACACACGTACAACACACGCGCAAAAGCACGCAAGCAAACAAGCACACACACACACACACACACACACACACACACACATATATATTTAAACGCGCGCGCATAAACAAAAATAGACACACACTAACACAGAAAAAGACTTCCACAAGCACATACACTCAGTCATACGCAAACAGAAAAATACACGCACACACAAGCACACAAACGATCGCAGAAACTGAAAAAAAGACACGTACGCAAATACCTAAACAAGTGCTCCAAGTAAATAAGAAAGTAATCTAAAAAAAAGTATAGTAAACGCCTGCTTCCCTCTCCTAAAAAAGAGGAAGATAAAGATAGACGAGGGGAACTTATAAGCACGAAAAGCACTTCTGCACCCAGGTGCACGAGCCATGGGCGCTCCCTTAAAAAAAAATGCCCCCTCCCCTCCCCTCCCCTCCCCCCCAGACGCTATGCGGATTTGAGCCCCGAGATCAAGCGTAACAAATGGCGCGTTTTGGGTGCATCAAGCCTCGCTACACGTCCGTGTGTACTAGCGTTTGTGCACGTGAGTGTCACATGGAGCGGAGAGTTATGAACTACACGAGAAAGAACCCGCATCAGGGGCTAATACTCTGCTGCTCGTATACCTGTGTATGTACCTCTATCTGTCACCATGTCGGCGCGCGGCGGTGCGTCCTTCTAAATGAATGCGTAGAATGTGCGTTGAAGTTTGTACGCGTGAAAGAGTGTGTTCAAGAGTGAGGCGTGCCCCCCCCTTCCCCCCCCAAACCTTCCCGCGTTTGTTGGTTTTCTTTTTTTTTTTTTTTCTTTTTCGGGTTTTAGTGTTGCTTTTTAAGGCGAGCTTTGCCGCTCTCCCGGGACTGAAAAATATCGAGTAGTGCGGGCTGTCGAGCGACGACGACGACGTATGACCAGCAATTTGAGTTGTCACCTGTTTTTAGACAAACGACAACTGTGTCGCGGCAACGGGCAGGCCGCGCTGTGCCGAAAGCGCTTTTTATTGCTTTCTTTCCAAAATAGGAAACAAAGCCAACAAAAATAATTTGTGAACCTAAAGAAATCAGCAAAAAAGAGGTGCGGAACAACGCTGGAAGAGCTGGCGAAGAATGAGGTGAACTCAACCGTGCTACAAAGTCCAGAGCGAGCAATGTTAGAAAGAGAAAAAAAAACAAAAAAAACACGGACCCTGCATTGCGAGGCGAACGAAAAAAAAGAAATGATACAGGGATGGGGAAGTCCGGGCAGGAAAGCTTCCGGATCGGGAATTCGCCGTGTTTTACAACTGGATTCTATCCGGACACGCAACATTTCTCTTCTGGGTGCGGAGCCGCCGGCAGTAGCGCCGTCGCAACCGCGTTTCTCTTTTTTTCTTCTTTCGAATAATTTTTTTTCTTCCTCCCAGGGAGAAAACCCTTCCCGGCTAGTTTCCCTACATCCCATATCCATCTCTCTCGAGCAGCATGGGCCGCACACGAGGGTGGACGAAGCTGACAGCCGGGAGGAAAAAAATGATCGCATCAAATTTTAGGGAGAACTCTTCGAGCTGCCAGTTCCCCCTGCCCATCCTGCTGACACTGCACTGCGGTCTTGAGGCTCGTCATGGTCGCCTCTGACTTTCCTCCTCTTCCCATTCTCTCTCTCTCTCTCCCAGTCTCACTCTCTCTCTCTCTCTCTTTCTTCATCTATCGCATTCGAAACTTCAGCCTGTGCGTGTATGATCGCATGTGTATGTTAGCATGTAGATGTTAGCCCGTGTATGTGTTCGATTATAAGGTGATTCAACGTTTGGGTAGACCTTCTGTACAACGTAATGACGCCTTAAGAAGCCAATCAGACTCAGACATTAGCCTATAAGGACATTCAAGAACGAATCGCAAAGCAAGAAGAGTGAACACAATAAAGCAAGCCATTGCGCATTTTAAGCTGTGACTGACCTTTACATAAACGTATTACTTTCGCTTGCTGGTCGTTTTCGACAAACCATTTAAACTACTCGTTCATTAACTGACCTTCGTCGTCCCCTCATTCGCCAAACCGACAGACAACCCAAAAGACACGCCACCGAACAAACCACATTTTTCCTCTTTCATCCCCTCACATCACAGAGTCCCACTCTCACTTCGGTCCCTAAAACCAACGCATCAAGCGAAATCGGACAAACCGGGGGTTCCAACTCACTCCGAAGCGAACGAAGAAAAACTAAAAAATCTCTGACACACACCGAGCACCGCGTTCAACTGTATTCCGTCGTACCCGAGCGTGAACCGCAGGGGATCCCGAACGACCACTCCTAGTCAATCTGGGGCCACGAATGAGACACGCGACTTCACGCTCAGCGTTCCGCCGCAGCCGACTACGAGGTCAGGTGACCCGCACGAGGAACCCTGGTGCGCTTGCAACCTTTGCCATGGTCCACTTCGAGCGGATGCAAACAAAAAAGGCGCACCGTTCGACAGGGGAGACAAACAGGGCCCGGTCTATTAGAGGTTCCCGGCGGGAAGTGAAGGCGCGGACAGGCCCGCAATCGAGTCTTTCCATTAGGCCCGTCGTCGACAACCCGGGGTCCCCGCCCTTTGTTCTTCCAAGTGCAGCTAATTCTGCGGTCTGAGAGCGACTGCGCGGTGGACCTTACAGCCATCAAAGTCTCGGGAGATATCGGAAAACAATACAAGGAAATACCCCGACAGCCCTAGTTTATCTACCGCCCCGTGAGCTTTTGCGCATTTTTTAAACCAATATATAGTCGGTGGCGGGATAAGAACTTCTAGATGCTACGCC